AGACATAAACATAACCTCCATGTAAAGGTTTGTTTAGGATAATCGATGTACTTTTTAATAATATGTTTTGTACAATATCCTTTAATTTAAAATCGNACATAACCTCCATGTAAAGGTTTGTTTAGGATAATCGATGTACTTTTTAATAATATGTTTTGTACAATATCCTTTAATTTAAAATCGTTTGTCCGAAAGAAATTATGAGAAAGAATTAAACGGTTTGTTTTCTGGTCTAAATATACACGGCTATTTCCAATTAAATCTATTATATTTGAATAATAAATCTGTTTTAACAGTATAGGTTTTTAGAATACAAAAAATTATATCAAATCTGTTTTCTTTATCTTCATACTCTGATACACAACATTATGATGATGGACTTGAGGCAGATTGAGAAGTCAAGGTTTTTGAGACATATCTACATTCTTGATGAGGACATGAGACAAAATTCTAAATATACACGTTGCTTTTTCTAGATTTCTTATTCAGGTTAGATTGGAATGATTTCCTAAAAATCTTCTCAGAATTTCCTTTTCGAGTAGCATAAAAGGCTGTTCATATAACTGCGTTTTGTTTTCAGGTGATATAATGAGACACTATTATCAATGATAGAGCAGTAAACAGATAAGTTTCCGACTTTAGCTTATTTTTTGGCTTATACATGAGAAACATGTAAGTTTTATACAATAATGAGTTTACTTAATAGTATAGACATGCTTCATGTGTAGGTCGAGCACTTCCTTTAATAGAGAAGGAGCTTTAATCATTTGAAGGACATGGGATATTCGATATTACGGCAAAGGAATACAAACCACAGTAAGTGCATTTTTTGCTTTCTTCACATCCTAGTAATTAGAGTTCGAACTTAAACTGGTAGTTAGGAAAATAATCCGGAAGTTTGTTTGATGAATCTTGTTTCCAGTGTAGCTCTTTCCTAGAGTTGAGTGCAGTGTATGTTAAAGATTTATAGAGATGAAGCTGGCATCTGACTTTCTGGCATATAATGTGTTATTTTGTTAGAAACAGTCATTGCGAGGTACTGAGGCTTTCGAGCCTCATCAATTCTGTGTTTTCCTTATCATGAATCAAAATTTTAGAATCCTTTTAAGTATCGAACTTTTCCAAAAGTTCGAAAACAATTTAAGATACACTTAGTAATATAGAACCAATACGCGAGTCAAAATAAATAACCAAAAATTTAGATTTTATAGTTCTAAATAACTTAATAAAAAACTTCAAATCATAGAGTATCGAAAACCTCTCTAAAGACCACGTTCTTTGTTTTGCGTTGAGGCTTGCCTTTGCTGTCAACAATTAAAATCTTCAAACCTTTCTTAGAAGTCACTCTGGAGACAGCCACATATAGTTGTCCATGTGAGAAAACCGGTCTTGGTAGAGAAATACCAACTTCAGACAATGTTTGTCCTTGACTTTTATTGATAGTAATAGCGAATGCCACACTAATAGGCATTTGTCTCCTCCTCATTTTGAATGACAACTTCTTGTCTGAAGGAGTTATTGAAAGCCTAGGAACCAACACAGTTCGACCAACCTTTTCCCCTGTAATAACCTTTGCCTTTATCATGAAGTCATACAGTTCTGTAATCTGAAGCCGAGTTTCATTCATCAATCCACCAACAGGATCTATATTTCTTAGCAACATGACTGGACAACCAACTTTCAGTCGTAGACAATGATTTGGCAGTCCTAATGCCTTAATTTTGTTTAAAAAGTCTGGAGTGAGAGCCTGGTCGTTCTGTGAAAACCTATCAAAAGCGTCGATTGAATCAGAGCTTAAGTAAATCTTTTCCTCTCCTGCAAAAATGTACATAAAACGATCAGTATAGTGGAACACAATTTGGAAAATATTATTATACGGCAGCATTAAAATGTAGACACTATTTACTTACCATCAAGCTTGTCCAACATGTGTTGATTGATCATGTTCACATCCTCGTTTGTAGGACATAATATAGCTCTCTCTTGAAAAAATCTAGGCTCCTTCTTGTGTAAAAAAATGGAATCTCCATAGACTGCTGTGCTTATAGCTTCTATTGGGTCATCAATATCTAGAATTAAAAACTCTTCTGGGATGTCAATAAGTGCTTCCCCATCATTTGATCCTGTTACAATTTCAAAGACAGTTATTTAACAGTAATATTAATAGTCTCTGTGTCATAAATAAGATAGAGAATACTAATTACAATTCCTTAAATGCTTCAGCTTCAGGTATTGGAGGGTTGATCATCATTTGAGAAGCATCAAATGCATTAGAGATCTGCAATTCTCCTATAAGGTACAAAAAACGATACATCTAAATGAATCTTTTATGCATAATTAGTTTGTATCAAAATGGACTGAGTGTAAATATATACCTCTAAATTTACCAAGCTTAGCAAACCTCAGCAACATAGTAACCATTCCATCTTCTTGGTTAATTGAAGAATGGAGTTTCTCGGCCAAGTTGCCCCAGATGCAGCAGGGTAAACGTGAATCACTACGAATATAAGTTAAGATAACGTGAATCACTACGAATATAAGTTAAGATATGGTCAGTGATATAATCTTGGTTAATGAGCACACCATAAGCGCTTTGACTTACTTTATGTCGGTTAGAGTTAACTCAAGCTTTTTTCGTTGCTTTCCTCCAGCACACTGAATGGTTTCGACTGGACCACAATCCATAACTTGTCCAAGAACATCTGCAAAAACAGGTATATGTTTACATTAGTATATAATACACTCGAGATAGCATGAAACATCTAAAAAATTTTATGCTTACCAATCAATAAATTGTCATCCAGACTTCCAGACAAAACAGATTAAAAATCGGCCAAATCCAGGTACAAATCTTCATTAACTCTATTAGATCGCGTAACGGCCGTGTTCTGATTGAAAACCATCTTCCATGAATGATTTGTGGTTCGATAAGCTCCACCAGCAGGAGTAATCTGGAAATTCCTGAGGTAGCGCCATGCTCCAACTGTAAGAAGCCTTGTCTTACTTTCAATGTAAGTCCTTTTACATGTTGCATGGATTTTTTGCCCCTTAAACATGTAAAACAAAAATATAGAAACATCAAATAACACTCGAAACAATGATAAAGAACGGAATGATAAATACAGGAAAAATAACTTACAGTCTCATCAGCGAAAACGAACTNATGTGTTTTTCCATGGTTTCAAGTCGTGTAAAAGGACCACTTTATCATTAGAACCTCTTGATGCTTGGATTTGCATTTTAGTAGCCATAGTTTTGTTTACTGGTTTGTTCGAAGGTGTGGGTTGGAACATGAATAGGGTGCTGTCTATTTATATATAAAGCAGATTTAAGCGACGTGGTTAGGTTTTAGTAGAAACTTGAGGAGAAAGTTTGGGGATATTCTCTTTAGTATCGAATATTGATTAGAATTAGTATTTGGGAAATCCATAAATAAAATTGAACAGAATAGATTATTTTGTGTATAGAATATATTTTAGGATTAGTATTTGGCAAATTTGGAAATATAATTAATTAGTTAGCAAATCTTTTGGTTTCTATTTCTATACTTTTATTTCTACACATATATATTTTCGTAATTTATTGTTGGTAACAATTAAAAAGAATATTCAATTACAGAGAATATTCAATGATATGTTAAGAATAAATTTTAGGATTAGTATTTGGCAAATTTGGAAAATATAATTAATTAGTTAGCAAATCTTTTGGTTTCTGTTTCTATACTTTTATTTCTACACATATATATTTTCGTAATTTATTGTTGGTAACAATTAAAAAGAATATTCAATTACAGAGAATATTCAATGATATGTTAAGAATAAATATCCCGACAATTTATGAGGTTGAAAACCGAATTTGGTTATTGATATTGTTTGGTTCATGTGTAAATGTAATATGTTTTGAATAAATATCCCAAAAATATATGATTTTGAATAAATATAGATATTTGATATTGTTTGGTTCATGTGTAAAGTGTTCTTATGTATTTGGCAGGATCATGCAATGATGCTGGGAAGGATGATGTACAAAGCAAATATGAAACGAAATAGGGTTTAGGGTTTGATTAAAGTTTAGGGTATATGGTTACTAAATAGAATTGTAAATATCAATAGGGTTACTAAATAGGGTTTGAAGCCATTTTGTTTTAAAAACAGAATTGTAAATATGAATTAAGTATTGATGTTCGAAGCCCNGGGTTTAGGGTTTGATTAAAGTTTAGGGTATATGGTTACTAAATAGAATTGTAAATATCAATAGGGTTACTAAATAGGGTTTGAAGCCATTTTGTTTTAAAAACAGAATTGTAAATATGAATTAAGTATTGATGTTCGAAGCCCATTTCGTTTGGGCTTTGCTGTTTGAAGTTATTTGTTATTTTCAGCCCACGATTTCATTTAAAAAGGAAATGAAATAGAATGTTTTGTAATTTCATAGAAAGTTCAGGGGCAGAAACCAAAACAGTCATCTGCTTTAATAGTATAGATATATTATTTAACAAGTGATTTAGATATATGTCACTACCATTTTACCATTTTAACTTATCTTAACTAAAACAAAATCTAAAGCTAATTAGAATTTATATATTTAAATATAGAAATACTTAAAATTAGGGATGAAAGAAATAATTAAAATAAATAATCATTAAATAGAATATAAATACAAAATATTCTTATAAAATATAATTAAAACTCTACTGAAATTTAAATAGAATAAATTTGAAAAAATTAAACCAAATCAAAAGAAACAATTTAAAAAAAAATTAAATTTTATTTTTACTAAATCTGTAAAACTAAAATCTAAAAATAATAGAGTTATTTTTAAAGTAAAATATTACTATTTGGCTTCAAAGACAGCATCAAAATATTATGTTGTTGTCCACTTATAACACGCCATGTCATCGTGCCAGCTCGACCATCGGCACCAGAGATCTATTTCCAAGTTTTCTTATTTTTCCTGGGCATAATCAGCTATAGGAAGAAGAAGAACGAAAACAGAAAACCATGTTTTTGTTCGATTGGTTCTACGGAATCTTGGCGTCGTTGGGGTTATGGCAGAAAGAGGCGAAAATCTTGTTTCTCGGGCTCGACAATGCCGGAAAAACCACGCTCCTTCACATGCTCAAAGACGAGGTTTTTTTTTTGTCCTTTTCTATTATTCTTTTCTGGGTATGAATCTGAGATTTGGTGATGTGTGATTGGTTGGTTACAGAGATTGGTTCAGCACCAGCCGACACAACATCCAACGTCTGAGGAACTTAGCATTGGCAAAATCAAGTTCAAGGCTTTTGATTTGGGTGGCCATCAGATCGCTCGACGAGTTTGGAAGGACTACTATGCCAAGGCACACTCTTCTCTCTCTCTTGGACAGATTGCTATGTATACTTACTTCTAATGATTGTAGTTGAAAGCTTAGCTTCAAGTTTCCTTATCACATCACAATCTAACTACACACTGATTTTTTTTTTTTTAATTGCAACTGTCAGTTGTTTAAGCTGTTGAACCTATAGCTTATGGTGGGATTATTGTTAGGGTTTAGGCATAATAAAATGCTGGTATTCTGTTTGGCTCACAAAAAACTATTTCTGCATTCTAAAGGTTGATGCTGTTGTGTACCTCGTGGATGCTTATGACAAGGAGAGATTTACAGAGTCTAAAAGAGAGCTAGACGCTCTTCTCTCGGATGAAGCCCTTGCAGTTGTCCCGTTTCTGATTCTCGGAAACAAGATTGATATCCCTTATGCAGCCTCGGAAGACGAGCTTAGGTATCACTTGGGCCTCACCAACTTCACCACCGGCAAGGGCAAAGTGAACACGGCTGGAGGAGATTCTGGTGTTCGCCCGCTCGAGGTATTCATGTGTAGCATCGTCCGCAAAATGGGCTATGGCGAGGGATTCAAATGGCTCTCTCAGTACATCAACTAAAATCATTCTCATCATGTCTCTCTTTTTCATATAATCAAATGAATACTTCCGTACAATTTGTCTTTTCTTGACCTAAAGGTTTGCAAATGATGATGATATCATTACACTTTTCCATTTTATGTTTTTCTTGTAGTTTTCTCTGTTTCCAATCCTGTTCAGTGTCTCTGTCCACAATTTTTGTCAACAGTTTGTGTTCTTACTGAAATATTATCAAGTTAGACCACCAACTTTTTGTATGCACAACTCACCCTGGATCAAATCAACTCAAACTGTCAAAACTGGATGTTTTCTCCGTGCTACTCACGGTTTATGTAAACTCATTTTCTTTAATATAATTTTCTTTTATTTAAATAGTTCTTTTTTTTCTTTTTATTTTTGGTCAAACTTTTATTTAAATAGTTCATAGTTTAGAGTTAATATATAGAAAAATATTTACAACAGTAAGTAGATGAAGATAGCCTGTGTGTGTTTTGTTTTTTGTTTTTGTTGCTTTTCACTTGTTTAATTTAACTGTTCTTCTGATGTTGCTGATAACATTTATGAAGACTGCGGATTAAGATCTTATTAGTGGGATTGGGGAGTGAGTAAGACCATTATGCATTGTTTATAAAATTAAGTAGCAAGAAATATAAACTGTTAACTCAAATATTTTGAACATTACATAGCGTTAGTTTATAAACTCGTAGCTACACAATCTTGACGACTCTTATCTCTTGAGCTCAAATTCTAAACTACTAATTTGATCTACAAACACCTTAAACAATCTTAAACGCTTTTGTAATCTTCTAAGATTGGTTGAAGAAATGCACTCACAAAGGAACTAAAATAACTAGATCGTTGATGTGTGGATCTATGTCTGATATCAGGTTGCTTTTTCGGTTCATGGGGTGCTGCTAGATCTTTGTGGCGTGCATGTAGCGAGGAGGACAACTCCTTGCACGTCTATGACTTGCCATCGTAAGTCCTTCCATTCATGTGTATTTAGTGAGTCTACATTTGTGATTCCTCTTCAAAATCTTTACGGCTTAATCTTATGCAGAATTTATGGGGAAGGAGAAAAAGTCTAGCAATGCAAGAGATACCACCGATCCAAATATGTCTCGGGACATATTTTTCGCCAGTGGATTGGTGAAGCTAAATATTCCATGTCTTGTTGGTTACATTTATGTTCTAGAAACCAAAGTTCACATGCTGAACACCAACTCAGAAAAAGAAATAGAGATCCACTCTCATCGACGAAGCTAAATATACCGCTGCTTTAGGGTTATTTATATGATGAGGTAAACTTAAATTCTTTGGTTTTCCTGACAGATATTAACATATCCACACTTTTCACCATATACACTTAATTGATTATTTGTTGCAGAAAAAGAATCCTGATTTTGAATCAGTGGCTATTTCAGTTGGGCAGGAACATAAAATCAGGATGAGAATCATCAAACATAGGAACATAAGTGTAATTGAAGTTAGAATCAGGCTTGTGGAAGAGAATTATGTGTTCAAATTCTTGGCACTAGCATTCAAATTTAAACCATCATATGCCTTTACATTAACCATCTCCTGCGGCCCAAGAGGGAAGAGGAGCACGGATAACAAGAGGATCACCAGTAACCGGATGATCCAAAGACAAGGTCTCAGCATGAAGGTCATGACCATCGAATGTTGATCCCCTGAACTCATACATCCCATGATACTTAACATCTCCTCTAATTGGAATCCCAAGATACTGACAATGTAACCTAATCTGATGCGTCCTACCACTTTTCGGAAACGCCCTTACCACAACAACAACAACTTCTCCATCTCCGACACAACTCAAACCCGGTTCCCCCTCAACAACAATTATACTTTCAGATTCAGAACTAGGTTGTGGGTTTTTTTCACCGTTAACGGAGACAAGTTCAAAAGTTGTTTCCATATCTCTAACGAATGATCCTCCCGGTAAGACCCTACCAACGTCCAAGGCAGCGTAAACGCGCCACGCTCCGTGTTTGGAGCGTCCGTGACCTGACTTAATCGTGATCTTGCTCCATTTTGGTGATGGTCCGATGGAGAGAGCAATGTAGGATTTGCGAACCTTGTGTTCTGTGAAGGCTTTAACGAGCTTAGCAGCGACTTTATGAGACTTAGTTATGAGCATTACGCCACTTGTGTCACGGTCTAATCTATTGGCCAGATGGAACTCACTCGATGAATCTGAGAAAAATAAAAACACACTATCAATTAATTATGATTAATTTTAGATTATGAAATTTAAAGATGTACTCACCAGCGATGATGTTAGGAGCAGAGGAAAGAACAGATTCGCAGTAGACACCTTTGGGTTTGTTTACGGCCATGAGCCATTCGTCTTCGTATAAGACATGGTCTCTTGTGAGATTGAAGAGACTTGATTTTGAAGAAGCTTCAGTGGCTCTTTTGAGTTCAATGTCTTTCGAGATCAGAGGCGGCGGAGCGGAAATGGGTTTTGGGTAATTATCTAGATTGGTACTTGTGGGGTGTCGAGCTTCCATGGCTTTGATTGAGTTTGCGAAATAGTTTTTTCTAAGTATTTTGTTTGCTGAAAAGAGGTTTCGAAGGACAAGAGGGGAAGCTGCAGACATTGAGATGTGTACAGTTCTTCTAACCGTCTATAAATACGTATATGACTACACAATTCGGTTTGAGGTTCGGTTTTTAACTTTCTTTTTGTGTTCTTCCATTTTATTTTATTTTAAAAAGATATTGTTTAAAAATAAATATTATTTTATAATTTAAAGGCATAATTTATTAATTTTTTTTTATATTTTTTCATTAGTTGAAATGTAATTAAATGTATAATTAATACTTAAAAATAATATAAAATTAAATATATATTTTTTTAATTTGTGTCAATAAACCTAAAAAATAACAGTTAAAATGAATGGGAGGAAATAATATTTAGGATGGTTTAGTTTAACTTCGGTTTAGTTTCTAGCTTGGTTCGGTTCGGCTTGGGATCTTTGGTTGCGGTTTCTTCTACTCATAAACCACAAAGAAACCCTACTCTTGAGACAAAGAACCATAGGTTTTGTCTGATTAAAATTTCGATACAGAGGAGAAATCAATCAGAAATGATGTCATCGTTGATGATCAATAGATCACGAAGCAGATGTGTCCTACTCTGGAAAACCCATGGATTGAAAATCACAAGTATTTTCTCTCACTCGTTTGCAGATTCAGTTTCGGCCTCCTCAGATTCAACAAGAAGTTTCAAAACTACATCTTCTGGATTCCAATCTAGAATATTTAGCAACTTTGCTTTTCCCGGAACCAATTTGACTCGACAATTAAGCACAGAAGCTGTAGTACCTGTTGCTTCCACCTGTGACGGTCTTACGGTGGAACGAATCATAGCTAACCAATGGCCCATTTTAGACGAAAATGAGAGCGATTGGAAGAGTCACGCTGCAGCTATTGCACAGTCCATTCAAGTCATCAAGAGACGCTTGCAGGTAAAAGCTATACTCCCTCCATTTCAATTTATATGTAGTTATAAGTGAAAATTTTTGTTTCAAAATAATTGTAGTTTTTTTAGTTCTAATGCAAAATTTATTAACTTTTTATGATATTCTATTTTTTTCATTAGTTGAAATGTGATTAGATGTATAGTTAATAGTGTTTTTATCAAGAGAATATGTAAAATTAAATGTTTTTTTCTAATCTGTGTGCAAAACGACCACTAAATTGAAATTGAAACGGAGGGAGTATATTTCGTAATTACATTATTACACTGTTGAAGTCTTTTTTTTTTTTCGTTGGCAGTGGAAGAAACTGTTGGTGAGGGTGAGAATGTTATCTGTAGAGCTGAATAAGCCTCATCTCTGGGATGATCCAACTCATGCTGGTAAGATAAGCCGGGAGCACGGCTCCCTCACTGGGAAAATGAAAGGAGTTATGACTTTTGAAAGGGAGCTGCTTGAACACATTGACATGTTGAAACTCGCTAAAGAGGAGAATGACTCTGAGTTAGAATCGGTGCGAGTTTTCTAGGCATGTGTTCTCTGAGTTTGCTTATATGTCTGTCTTCTTCACAGTAATGCAGATTTACATATATCCCTAAAAGCATTGAGTATTGCAGGAAACTATGAGTGCGTTGATGGAAATGAGAAGGGTTTCAAAAGAGAAAGAACTTGAGGCTTTATTATCCGCCGAGAACGATCATTGTTCATGTTATATCGAGGTGACAAAACAGAGAATTTTGACTTGAATTAGAGTGTATGAAATCCTATTGAAAAGGCTTTATTTGAATAGGTCCAAGCTGGAGCTGGAGGAACAGAGAGCAACGATTGGGCATTAATGGTAATGGACATGTATAAATCATGGGCTCAAAGACGCAAATTCTCAGTCACTGTCGTCGATGAAATGCCTGGAGAGATGGCAGGAATCAAGGTTGTTTATATATACATTTTGTATTACATGAATCTGATAGGTTCCCAAACCTGTAAAAGACTTCTTTGTTTATGGAGCCTACACAGTATACAGCTACTACTACAAATCACTTGAGCTCATTTATGCTCCTGCATTAGACTAATACAAGAAGTTATCAGGCTTTGGTTCACTGCTAAGTCTCTTCTGTTTGATCTAATGTCTTGAACAGCGTGCGACAATCAAAGTGAATGGTGAATACGCTTATGGATATGCGAAAGCAGAAGTTGGAGTTCATAGGCTGGTGCGTATATCACCCTTTGATAGTGGCAAACGGAGGCACACTTCGTTTGCTGCGGTTGCGGTGATTCCGATTCTAGGTGACGGGTCAACCCGAGTGCAGATCAATGACTCGGATCTCCGGATAGAGCGGTTCCGTTCTGGAGGAGCTGGTGGACAGCATGCTAACACGACGGACAGTGCTGTAAGAATCATTCACATACCAACTGGCATAACAGCAACTTGTCAGAATGAAAGGTCTGGTCTTAAAAAGTTGTGTTTGATTTTTTTTTGCTTTGGTTCATTTTGGTTTTTATGTCAAAATCTTTGACGTTGGTAAACAGGTCGCAACATATGAACAAGGCTTCAGCAATGGCAGTGCTACAGTCACGACTAGACCAACTAGAGATGGCTCGTCAGACAGCAATGAATGCGCAACATACACAATCACTAACCGAGATCAGCTGGGGAAATCAGATTAGAACTTATGTTCTCCATGTATGTGATACCGCACCCGTTTCTGTTATTTGAGTTTGTAAACGAGCTGAGTATTCTTTTTTTTTTCAGCCATACAGAATGGTGAAGGATCTGAGAACAAACTACGAAGTCTCTGATCCTGACTCAGTTCTTGAAGGAGACTTGGATGGTTTCATATTGAGCTTCTTATCTTCTTCTCTGGACAAAGGTGATGATGAGCATTAAGGTTTTTGAATCTTGAGCTATCTCTGCCGCTTTAGTAAAAGAGTTCATTGTTTTCAGAAGGCTTTAAGTTTGTAATCTTTAAAGTCCAATATTTCTTCTAGAATCTGTGTTCAGTTCAAACCTTTTTAATTTATTTGTATTACAATAAATCAGTACTTATTAGAGTAGAATCTCTATAAATTAATATTTGATAAATTTCCATCATGCATGAAGCTAAAAATAGCAATCTTCTGAGTTACTGTTACAAGCAGTATCTTGATCTCAGTATCTTGTTCCATTGGAGTTGCTTTATTGCAGAAAACATCCTCCCAAATCTTCCCAAGCTCTGTTCCCAAAAGAAACCTCTAAACTAGTCAAAATCACAACTAGGTTCCGGTGTAAGCTCATCTAGTCATCTATACAAAATCAGATAAAAGATCGTTGAAACTGATGTGGGTATAGTGCTTCTTGAGTTCTTGGCTCTCAGGCTCTAATCTTAAAGCAAACTCAACATCTGGGGATTATAGCAACATTTAGTAAAGACATTGTATGTTCTTCACACGAAAGAAACAGCACCTTCCTTTGCTTCCTAAATCATCCCGAGTTGTTTTCTAGCTGTTGTTCGGCGTGAGTATGCCTTAATGTATCGATCATCTATATGACTATATTTAAGGCTTCTGTGCAGTCTACTTCAGACTCTCGATATCTATAACGTAAACAAACACTTGAGTCATATAAATGAATAAAAACAAGTAAAAGGATAATGAACAAGCCTCTTGATTTTAAGGTAAGCCATGGCTCGATTTGCAAAAGCCACGGTATTTGGTGATAATGCAATACTCCGAGAGTAACAGTTGATGGCCTCATTAAACTTGTTCAGCTTGAGAGGAATAACTTAAAAACAACATATTGAACTTGGGCCTTGGGCTTACTTTAGCCAGATTCGGGTTTATAACCGGTAAGTTAGCGGGTAAGACCCGACTTAATTTGTTTTCTTGAGGAAAAGGACAAAAATATCAAAAGCTTTCAGATCTTGAACAAGAACTTAATCATCTCTCTCGCTTTCTACGCAAAAAATGACAGTAAGTCTCACCGATCCCAACTCTCAATGTTCTTGCTTCTGATTCATCTTAGTTTTTCTTTCCCTTGATTTCTTCCTCTGATTTGATCTTCTTTTTTTTTTCCAGTTTACTATTCCCATAGACAACGGAGATGCCGTGAAGAATGCAGAAGCTGATTCACAAAGAACACTGTAAAAGAAAAAATTCTCTCATCGACTTCGAGAACATTTGGGATTGGGTTTTAGGGTTTTGTGTTTTGACTTTTTTGTTGTTGTTAGGTACCCCTATGTTACTGGCACTTCGATTGTTGCTATCAAGTACAAAGATGGGGTTTTGATGGCTTCCGACATGGGAGGTATGTTTTCTTTCACCTCAATGTTGCGTATCATTTGTCTTTTTTATTCAGTTAAAAGCTTCTTCATTTTTATTTTGGTTTCTCCAGCTTTCTAGTCATTGGTATGGATTCTTAATATAAATTTTAGAAGCTTTTAATTTACATTATTCTTTGCTTTCGTAGTAGGTTAGGTAGTTCCACTTGCTCCTTGTGCATGATTCCTTGCAGTAGGATTAATATATTTTTTGTTACAGCTCTTCCGCTGGTACTTTATTTTCCCACCTACTAATCCTTGCGAGACTTAGATATGATAGTGATAGCGAAGTGGTACGTTTTATGGTCAAGTTAGATTTGTGTCTCTCTCTAGTGAGTCTGATAGGATTAAGTTTCTATCCGTTATATGCAGAAAATGTGTTGTTTTCTTTGGCTATTTGCCTATTTGGTAGATAAGAAAAATGTATTTTGTCTGAACATATAGGCACGCAACTGCTTTCTTGTCATCCTTTTTTTTTCGTTTTGTGTGGAACTTTCATCAACAATTTCTTAGCTATATTTACTGTAATTTGCTATGATTTTTCAATAGGCTCATGATATTATCATGGTGTATCCCTCCCGGCAGGTTCATATGGATCCACCTTAAGATACAAGAACATTGAGAGAATGAAGGCTATTGGTAAGCATTCCCTTCTCGGTGCCAGTGGAGAAATCAGTGACTTTCAGGAGATTCTTCGTTATCTTGATGAGCTCGTGTAAGACTCCCGCTTCATCTTCTTCTTTTGGTTCTTGTCTACTACTGCCATGCCTGACCCAATCCTTGCTTTTAAAACAGTTTGAATGATAACATGTGGGATGATGGTAACTCTTTGGGACCAAAAGAGGTTCACAACTATCTTACCCGCGTCATGTACAACCGCCGCAACAAGTTTAACCCTCTCTGGAACACTCTTGTCCTTGGAGGTGTTAAAAACGGGGAAACTTACCTTGGCATGGTATGTCTCAACACTTTCCTCCATTCGGGATGTGATGTGACTAATGGATTCTTTGATTCTCTCTAGGTGTCAATGATTGGTGTTAGTTTTGAGGACAATCATGTTGCCACCGGATTTGGAAACCATCTCGCAAGGCCAATTCTTCGTGATGAGTGGCATGCGGACCTGAGCTTTGAAGATGGTGTCAAGCTCCTTGAGAAATGTATGCGTGTGCTTCTCTACCGTGACAGATCTGCTATTAACAAGCTTCAGGTTTGTCATTACTGTCAAGTTTTTCTTTATAAAATTTGGTTTAAGCTTTTTGTTAATTGAAATTGCTTTGAAACCTTCTTCAGATAGCAAAGATCACAGAAGAAGGCGTGACGGTTTCTCAGCCATATTCATTGAAGACATTCTGGGAATTCAAGGCGTTCCACAACCCGACTGCTGGCGCTGAAGGCTCCTGGTGAGAAGCCTAGTCAACCACATTGCCTGGAGATCTTCCAAGAAAGCTGCCTTTTTTTATTTTATTTTATTTCATGTGACCTTGTTAAAACACTCTACACTCCTGTGGATTTCCTAGCGACAATAGTGGTCATTTCATGAAATTTCGGAGTTAGATCAATGATAAATTTATGAACATTTCTAACGATCTTTTTGGACAGTGGAATCCTGATGTTTCGACATAAGTTTCTTCCGGTGAGAGTTCGCCATGAGATTATTTTGAGGAAAACTCTTGATGTTTTTACCGGTCAGCCAATTCTTGATGTTTTTACCGGTCAGCCATTTCCCTATTCCTTTGTTTGTTTAAGTCTAAAGTGGAAGAATTTTGTAATAATTACATGCATATAATCTATTTATACAAATAAATTAAAATAAAGTAAGTATTTGTGTAGCTAGCAAAAGCTGATCAATACATTACTAAATGACGATATCTTTTAGTGAATACGAGTACAGATGCAAATATTCATATTATACAATTGATGTTTAGTGTATTGGTTTTGTTCTATATAACAAGTGTTGTGAAGTGAAGGAAACACCAACTTATCTATCACATTTCAGCTGAATCGTTTTTATGCCATCTCCAACAATGACACCAAAACAAAAAAAATTATCTTTTATTTTCAATAATATAAAATTTAGTTATTATTTTTATAAAATATAGAAAGTAATAGTACTATAAACTAGGTTTAAATAGTAAGTCATAAAAAAATTTTATACTACTAAATTTATCAAACATTATTTTATTTTGTAGTATAGTTAAATTTGTATTGCTAAATAATATAGTTAAAAATTTAATAAGCATAATATCAAAGTGTGCCAAATATGTATTTAATAATTACAAAATAATTAAATAGAAAATTATTAAAAATGAAAAAAGTAAACATATATAATATTAGATTTGGTGTAAAATTTAAAGTTATTGTTGGAGATGGAAATACAAATAAAAATATAACATCAAAATACCAAATTTGGTATAATTTCGACATCAAATTTGATGCAACATCAAATTTGATGTCATTGTTAGAAATGCCTTTAATGACTTTTTAAAATTTCGTCTCTAGCCTTTCCGTTTTTGAATAAAATTCAGGTGAGTTTTTTTTTTGATAAATAATAAAATTCAGGTGAGTTTTAACTTTTAACTAGCCTTTCCGACATTCTTTTTGTTGAACTTGAATTAAATGTTTTGGAAATTTTGTCTTGCATGCGATCGTAATGTTTGTCTACACACCAGACTTATTACGTTTTTTTTTTTGCAGATGTGGAAGCTTATGAGATAATTGAGATTGTGGCCTAGTGATTGGAACAATGAAGATAATTGCGCCTCGAATTTTCACCCAGATCCTATAGACTTTGGCTTTTGAGCGATGATCAGAGATAATGAGACGTCCGAGTCTTTGATGAACATAGTAAGGATGAGGTACATGTTGGGAGAATGGAATCCGGTAGTTCTATACTTCTATCCTACCAGTTTCCGGCATGGATCCTTGGACCACTTCGAAGGATATTTCTGCCGATAAGCGTAACAACAACATCCGACATACCTGTCATGATGACTATAAGGGAGTGGTTCACTGAGCTTGTTCTCGTTTGTTAACATTGGAGCTCAAAGTGTCACCAGGTACCATTTCAACCGGAGAGACAACTTTGTGGTGGAAACAAAGCTGTTTATTGTTAGTACCGGTCCTGACATAAAAAAAGACCACAAGCAATTTTTTTAAAATCAGCTACTTTTATAAACTTTGTACATAAATTTTTCTAAAAAGGCTGATTTGTGCAAATTTTTTGTGTGAACTGGAAGCAGGTGTTTGTAATGCTTCCTTACAGGGTCACCACTGTTAATTATTGTTTATGAGTGTCAAGACGAGTATGCAGACGTGAATATGCAAGTATACAATCTTCGCTTGTGTTGATAGATTTACTATTATTACTCTCCCCAATTTTGCATGTAGTTTGCATTATATACTAATGATATGAAACAATTTGCAGGACTTTGGTTGGAAGAAAGTGTTGAAGCCGGAAAACCGGATCGACATAAACGATATAAGAAAGACGGAGTTAAGGAAATAGACGATTATATAAAACATGGAGGCGAGATAAATCTCTTTCCTTAACTCTTAATATTCGCTCCGTAGTGAGACGAAAATGTACGAATATCGAGTCCCAGGATACAACCATGGCAGACGAATCACGCTTCACTCGTGAAACGACCTAACGAACATAAATTCTATGAACACTCTCTGAAAACTTACACTGAGAGATTGCTGGATTTTTTTGTGTAATAAACGATACCAAATGAGAGAGAAGGAGAGGAGTATTTAAACGCTGAGAGATTGCTGGATTTTTTTGTATAAAAACGATACCAAATGAGAGAGGAGGAGAGGAGTATTTAAAGAAGAAACGAGAGTTCGAATTACCAAATGAGAGAGGAGGAGAGGAGTATTTAAAGAAGAAACGAGAGTTCGAATTTCGTAACTGGCGGAGCACGTTAGCGAAATATTCTCGGAGATCTCGGGAGTGGAGAGTTGAGAAACTTTCTCTGCAAGATTTTCTTCTTTGACTCGTTCTAATCTTTTACGAACCAAAGCCCAAGCCCAAGTCCACGCCCGAGCCAAGCCGGGCCGGACGGTGGTGGCGGCGCGCGCGTGGGGAGCCATCTCTTCCTTTGACTCATTTGAACCAAGGTAAGTGTGACTCCATATATATACTCCTCTCTGATGCTAGTGTTACCCGATGTGGGACTTTGGTGGTTTTGTCACTTAGACAAAATTGCAGTGTTTTATTTGCACTAAGATGCCCACTTTCTAGCCTCATTTCTCATTCAATTTAAATCTGTTTTTGACGTTTCAATATATCAAATTGTAGTACTTGTTACAAGCTTTCTAATGATATAACAAACTGATCTAGACGACCACTGGCTTGGCCGGAAAAGTCGAAAAGATCATTGTGTCAAAAACTGTTTCTAATAGAAGGATGATATGTAGCAAAACTGTCCTGGAAGATATCTTTAATGAACAAGAGATGATGGCGCTGCATCAGGTTGATCCTAAATGGACTTGGCCCACTCACTATACAACAAGAGGCTGAACAATGATACGAAGTTATTGCTCGGGAAGTAATATTGGTAGAAGATGACGATGATGACATGACTGATGCGCATGTGGCTATGGAGGCAAACACTACAAGTCTACAATGACATAAGGAAGTAACTGTGTATTCTTGTGGTATTAAATTGATATAATTTACAGGTTTCCATCAATGGTTAGAAATGGTGTTTACTTGTCTACTTTTCCGGTTAACCTCTACAGATGGGTTAGGCGGAGATAATGTCCAGAATCAAACACCCATCCCCCACAATGCACATTTCCGCTAACCCATCCAGGTCAGCTCTTCCAGACTTCCCAGCAAGGATTCAAGGGGTCAACACTATCATACAACAATGGTCTTTGGAGACGCTGATGGGCTTTGGGAGGGTCTGGCTCTAAGAATGGCCCCGGATCGTTAGGGAGGATGTAGAGAAGATGAGAAGGATGTGGGACTTACTACTGGAACACTTAGCCTTGTGGGAAAAGATGTAGGTACCGCAGCTCTAGATGATAATTATGATGCTTCCTCTACAGGTTATTGTGAAATTTGACTTTGATTGTTACTTCGTCTGATCCTGTGACAGTTGACACCATGCAACGAGTAACAACAACTCTCTCACTATCCACGGACGTGGTGTTACTTAATATATAGCGGCATTTGAGAAATTCCTAGATAATTAATCTTTAAAATGACTATACATTAATAAAACTGTTAAAAATCTTCTATTGAAAATTTTGTGATCAGTCGTTTAATTTTAAGCTTTTATATGTTAATATCCTTTAATTTTATTTACATACCATATAAATTGATCGATTGGGTTTATTTACCATAAAATGGTTGTAGAATTACAAAAGTAATTGTTTGATTTATGTATTTATGCTAATTTAACTATATACGTAATAGTTACTGATTTATCAATTATTTAATATATATATTTATTAGTTTATTTTACAATATCTAAAAGTAAACAATATAAATAATAATACGAAAAATAATTTGCATATGCAAAGTTTATTTCGTACAAGGCGCGGAGCATAATCTAGTAAAATTATATAATACATATATTATTGTGTACTTTGTTTTACATATCAGACATAGTCATGACCCATATTTATTTTTACGTAATGTTAACAGATATATCTTACTAAAACTTCAGTAATATATGGTCTTTTTTTTCTGAACTGTCATATATTGTTTTTTCCTTATAAATCCTTCCTCAGAATTGATTTCAATGGTTTTAGAGACATAACCTCATGCTCGAAGTCGAAGGAATCAAAACTTCCTTTGGATGTCTTCTTCTTAATTCTCCTTGAACTGATTCGTATCTCATCAACTTCTTCCTTTATGCTTACGATTTTTCTTGGAGCCTTTTCTTTTGGTTCACGTAACTCTAGTGGTTCTCCGTTGACTGATAACATTTCATTTTTCTCCATGATTTTGTCAACATCACATATGATGTTAGAGCCAATATCAGAATTTTTCTCTGGTGGTTCGATTGGACCAAGTATTAATGGATCGCCAAGAGTTACTTTCTTCAAAGCTTGCGTGGCTAATAACTTCACCAATAAATCATAGAATCGTCCGCAGAGACTAATTGGGGGTTGAAGTTCTTGCTCTTTGCTTTCCATTTTTTTATTGAGTAAAAAGAAAAGCATGTTTATGTTCTAATTGAGATTAGATATTTAGCTCAAAATGTTACAGAGAAACAAAAAGAAGAAGCAATAATTCATAGTCAGTCATCAAGATATCTTTAACGTGTAAGAGTGGACGACTTTAGGGAGGAGAAGAAGATCAAGAATCAGCGAAGAGACAAGTTTGGGATTAAAAAATAGTAATCTGATTCTTTGTTTTCACATGAAGATAAGATTTATTAAAACTTATTTTAAATATTACCGGGTGGACGACCAACACGCTAATATGGACATTAATTTGATTAGAATTTTTGGCCGCGCTGCGCGGTTAGTTTTTTAAACAAAATTTTCAATCATATTGTTTATATATATAATATATTGTATAATTAAACTTATAATTAAAAACAGAAGTAACAGAATTTTAAATTAAATAGATTATGATAACGATTGACAAAATCATTATAATTAATGCAAAATCATTATAATTAATGCAAGTAAGAGTTTCATAAAAGCTATTGGATAGCTCGGTCGAATCTTTGGTAGTCTCTACTCTTTAAATTATATTTTTTTATCACCTTCGGTATAATGCCACCATTGTCTCATCTCCATTATAGTTAGTCCCCACAGTGTATGTCTTACCTGAACCAGTCTACAGTGTATGTCTTACATGACCCAGTCTACAATAACAATGAATTGGATAAGGTTTTTTTAAAAAACATCATCTTGTAGCTCTAAACAAAATTGTTTAATGAGAAGAGTCTCAAAACCAAATTTGTCCATAGGCTAGAACTGTAGCGTTATAAACTTTAAATAGTGTATCCACAAGAGGAGAACAAACATGATCGTAGATCTCCAAACACGAAAAGCCAGGATTTCCAAATACGTAGTCGTATTTAAATGTGTGTGTACATATATGAACATGTTCAATTCATAAGAGATGCAAAAAATAAAAAGAGTTTTTAAACCCAAAATTATCAATTACTGTGAAGAAACACATGCTCATTATAGTTTCTCTAAATTCTCAATATGATAGCATTATCCAACATTGGAATCAAATCACCAATACAAAAAATTACTAGATAAATCAGATGTTCTACCTAAGGTTCCTTATGCACAACCGTGATGCAATCGGTGCATCTATTAAGAAGCTCATGCGTGATAAAGGGATGAATGTTGATGGCGACCTTGATGCACTATGTGGACTCCATCTTCTCAGCGCAGAAATGCAGAAACCTTAACAGCTATAATAAAATTCGCATAAATAAATGTTACGAAAGGAGGACAAAACTCATTGTATGCAACCAAATAACTCTCTGTAGCATATCTGCAGCCTAGATTTTAAAATCAAAAGGAATAAGAAAATAGATATGAGAAATATCCACTTGTCATCGAGGAGGAGGAGGGTTATCTCCATAAATTGCCTATTCTTGTTGATATTCTTCGAATCCCAAAATTGGATGATGCGAACAACAACAGATTGGGCGATTTTTAGGTTGCTTGGTTTACAAACATTGACGACATTTTAGAACTGATTCAATAATATATTCGTAAGTGAGCATATCTGGGTAACCTAAGAATCTAATGTTCAGTTGTAACAACGTTTGTAAATTGGAAGAGGAGGAGAAAGCAGAAAGGAGAAAGGAGAAAGGAAGAAGAAGAACTGAAAAGAAAAATTAAAGCTTGCGATCAAGAGAAGAACATATGTTTCACTTTCAAGTTGGTGAAGAGGGAGAGATTAAAGTTAATGTACATGTCGATTGCAAAAAACAGCACATTATGTAAAATTTAAAATAAAAACGGCACGCGAGTCAAAACAAAATGACACACAATTGGAAATTAACGAATGTGGAGTCCACAAAATGTTGATGCATGTGGCCAAAGAAATCTTCTCATTGGTTGATTATTTTTGCCTACGTGAACAACCTATCTAAAGCTTATATTTCTCTTTTAATATTATATATATATATATATTTACATTTCTAAGATTCTTTATGGAGAGCTGTATTTCTTTATGTTTATATCATATATGTATATTAGTACAAATTTAATTAATATGATATATCAAAATTCGAGTGATTTAGATGTTAATTAGTCTCACCAGTGAGACGCCCATGGACCGATCCTAATGAAACATTGGTTTCAAAACAACAAATTTACAGGTCCAAACACAAAATAAAAACACATAGATTTTAGTTAATCAAATTTAATTTGTTCTTTGAATCAATAAACCATAGCAAATCCTTATAACAAAGGTCAATAATTATTTAATAAATTATAATAATAATAAATACTATATATGGAGAATACATGGGAAATATATACTAATATTACATTTTAGTGATGCCAAATAAAGTAAATAGCTCTGATGAAAGAAAGTTAAAATACATAAAAATTTAATGTTTCATAATGTATACCTAAATACATTTGGTTGAGTATTTACCAAATACAATCTGCTAAGTTTCATGTACAAAGTTAATTACTTATACATTAATATATATAATTCATTAATTACCCTAAAACATTAAGTAATGACATTATTTCAGAAAACTACATTTAGTTCGACATTGTAAAACAATGTTAAACTATTCTTAAAGTTAATTTAAGAATGATTTATCAATCTTTTCCACTGATATATTTTCTTTTAACTGCAATATATATATATAAATATATATGAGAGCACATGTAACATAGCTAATTTATATTATTAAAAAAGAATCCCTCATAAGATAATATATTTTTAGAATTACTTACAATGACTTGCCACTAACATTTAATTTTAATATAAATATTAATATTTAAATTAAACAACAGAATATTCCTTATATTTATGTTAATTACTACTTTCATATTTTGTAAATGATAATAATTTTTATTTTTATGAAAATTATACTTTCTTTTTAATTTGAATGTCATTTTCTCATGCTTAGTTTTTTTGTCATTAACTTAAAAGACAGATGCGAACCATATTGGTAACTCCGCATCCATGTGAACGACGAAAGATAGTTGCGTCCTGACACTTCGTGTTAAACTATCTGCTCTTAAATTATATGCGTTCGTGGTACATGAATGATCTCTGAGCTAAGGAAACTGTCTTGTAGGGTCTTGATGTCTTCCAAATAACTTACAAAAGCGAGTCATTCTTCTGGTTCTGAAACCATCTTCACCAATTGAGAACAATCCGTTGCAAACGTAACCCGAAATTGACGCATATTCCTCATACACTCCATTGCCCAAAGTAGCGCTTCCACCTTCGCATGTATGGGAAAAACTAGCCCTGACATTCCTTTCCCACATTAAACCCTCAAAACCTTCCAGGGTACTAAACCAACCTTGTACTCAAAACCGATCATATCTTTCCAAGAACCATCTGTAAAACACCAACGTCCTGGAATTGACGGTAAATTGGATACCTCTACATGCTGTGCTGCTCTGCGTGTCTTTAGTACTTGTGCGTCATGCATAGTATTTTCTAACGATTGAATATTAATATATACATAAAAATTGAAAATAGGATTTACTATCTCATTTTAAACATAATATTGATATGTTGATTCCAAGTATTCAAAAATATTTTTAATACTATCATAAAATTAAATTTAGATCTAAAATAAATAAAAATTGCAAAATTATCATATGTTACTGATAACGAAAAAACTAATATTTTCATATCAATAAATATTGCTTTTTCTATTACTGTTATTTCATTTCTTCAAATGACAGAAAACAAATTTCATCAAATTCTAAAGAATTACAATTTTTTTAAATTTTATATAATATGAAAGAGTATGAGTTATCAAATCAAAATTTATAAATATTATCAGATTCTTTATTGAATCTTGGTTTAATAACATGTTCTTTAATTAAGAACTTTTTATTAAATCAGAATTGGATTATACGCAAGTCGCCATATCTATCCATTCAACCACAGGATCTGAAACGGTTATGAAAACACAGCTTGAAAATCAAACATTACAATAGAACAACTTTTTTTAAAAACTAACATAACAACTTTTGAAACTGTTTGTTTTCTAATAAAAAAATATAAATTCAATCAAATTAATATCTGCACTTTTAAAGCACGAATCAGATTCTAGTATTAACTTAATGCCAAATGTAAAATTTTAACCTTCCATGTATTAGCTTCTCTTGATAGTAGTAGAAATGATAAACTGAATAATAAAAGATATGTAACCGTCATGTTCTTCATCTACATGTTTAGCGACATAAACAAAAATCTTCAGTCTCGACCCAAGTTCTTTCCATTAGAAGAAATCTGTACCGACGAATGTATTTGTTTTCCACTATTGGTTGAATTTAAGCTCCTTACCAAAAATCAGTAATTTGTATTTAGTATTTAAAAGACAAGTATATAGTACTTTGAATTAAATATACCTTTTCGTCGATCAACACCGAATTATGTGTTGCATCCTGGTGAATGATATGTTCTTTAGATATAATTTTAATTTTCACATAGATAATCTAATCTGTTTCTATAGAATTTAAATTTTCTAAGTTGTCAATATAATTTTTACTTAATCTTTAAAATTTTACTTGATATGTTGTTTCCTGGTTGAGTTAGTGCACTAGCCTTGTCCCTTTGGACAATGATCTCCTTTGACAAGAGAGAGAACCAATCTCTTGTCAAACCTCCAAGATCCACACCATGTTCACCTTTGAAGCTCACCATGAAATGCCTCTTCAAGTGGGAAGCCGAGAAGTTTGCGACATGGTGAAAGGTGCTCTTAAAGACATCATTCCTTGAGACCTGAAACCTTAGTGTCTTGTTGGCAGAGCATTGTCGTTCTTCTTTCATCTTCTTCCTGAAATGTGACAACTTGTTGGGCAGATCAAGGACATGTGGCGTCTTCAACGACACGTGAAAAGACTCATTCAGTAGACGCCTCTCTTCTCTGATCAACTCATTCAACAAATCTTTATGCCTAATTGCGAACTCCAAATGATCTATCTGAGTTGCCTCACAGAAGCTCTAGACACAGACCATAAGATAACGGACAGAGGACAAATTTTATTTATCAGTCAGATTTATATAACCCCACACGATTTCACCAAATTGCTTTTTCTGTCACCAATTTGAATTAAAACTAACTTTTTAGAGTTTTCCCTTTTGTTACGACAGAGAAACTACAGCTCTGATCTTTTTAAAAATTTTGGGCTGTTTTCAAATTTGTGACCAAATTTAATTTTGATTTATCGGGCTACGTTGAGTCAAATTTTAGTTATATTATGGTCGGATGTGTCAGATTTTAATTGATCGACGGAAAAATCTAACAGATGTAATATTTTCCACGCCAGCCACTTTTTGGATTAATGAATTTAGGGGTTGAATGGAAGAAACTGCAGTTATTTTTTTTTTTACTGTAGAGTTAAAACTGTAGATTTTTTATTGTGTCTATAGATAATTTGACTGTCAAATTTTAGTTGTAGATTTGAAAAGATTTAGTGATTGACATATAAAGTTTTTCAAGCAAAAAACAAGTGTTTTATGTTTAGTGTTTCTACGGCAAAAAATAAACAAAAGTTAAAGAAACATTTATAACATAAAGAAAACTCTTTAAAAGAATGATTGGGAAAAATTTGCTCTAGAAATAATTTAGGTTGTGAAAAATTCTTATAGCACTTCTAAGCACTTGTCAACCAACCCTTTAAGGTCATAATAATAATTATACATAAACTTAAGTTGAGGAATGTTATTATGTACTACATATACTTTTCTGAAATTTGATATATTTTAGTAGGGCTGGACAAATAAACCGAACCCAGAAATTTGAACCGAACCCGACACTATAAAAATGAATCTGAACTGAACTGATCCGAATCCGACATAAATACCGAATGAATCTTGTCTTATGGTATTTTGGGTTATGAGTATTATCCGAACTGAATCCGAACTTAAATATCCGATAGAACCCAAAACTTTCAAAATCTCAAAAAGAATTTGTACCGAACATGATTTCAATTCCCAATATATATCCAAAATACTATAAGATAATATTGAACATCTAATATATATATATATTTTTTACATGAAAGTTGATGGTTGTAGATAACAGTGGAAGCTTGAAGTATTTAGATTTTGGCTTTATTTTAACTGAATAATATTTCTCATTTCATTTCATGAGAGCTTGGTTTTCGTTTTATGTTTTCATTTATTTGGTTTTCTTTATATCAGTAACTATGTTTATCTTTCGTTTGATTTTGAATGATCACGTTTGTTGCTCTTTTATTGCTTTTGAATCAATTTTAGTTATGTTTTGGCTACAAAATAAGTATAAATTATGTTTTTAAAATTTTAAGAATCGATTTTACTTATGCTTTGGTTACAAAATAAATACAAATCAAGTACTTTTAAACTAAAGGACTGATTGGAACCCGAAACTGAAAGTACAATCAGTTATACTAGTTCTTTAAAAATTTACTAACCCTGAACCCGATAAAAATATGATTGATTTTGATAAACCTAATAAAACAAAAACCCAATTGGATTAAACCAAAATCCGATTGGACCCTGAACACCCAAACCTATATTTTCGTTTAGCCTGAGAGTTAATAATTTACATAGCCAACAATCATTTTTTTGTCTTTTATTATTCTTTTTACTCTGTTTTTGGATAGTTGCCACTATTGCAAAGGGAAGTTGATAAAGGTATTTAAGTGGACTGCCTGCCCCAAGTTTGGAGAAAAATAAAATATTAATGAACAGATTTTGCGTGAATCCTCACCCCTCCCCCCCCCCCCAATATAACCTAAAACCCACAATTAAATATTATCATTTCCAAATTATCATCTTCTTCTTTCTATACCTTCTTCTCCGACGCTAATTCTTTCGATTCTTTTTTTTTTGCGAAGTTCCATTTCTCTAACTAACCATGAGCGCCGCGATCTATCTACTCCGAAAATTCTCCACGAAGCCGCCTTCTCGGCTTCATAGAAACCTCTTCCTCTCCACTTTTTCCATTGATTCCCCTCCAGATTTGGCGCGAAACACCTTAATTCGTCCCTTCTCAACTACCCACCCCACCAAATCCAACAACAACCATAGCTTGATTCCTCCGCGCTTTCCCCAATCGAATCTCTTTTCCGAGAAAACGAAGAGTACCATCAGCGTTTCATCGAGAGAATTATCAACATCAGTGGAAACAGACCACACTTTCGACGGTCTTAATCCGAATCAACTGATTATCGAAAGGATACACAAAGACGGAGGAGGAGCAGAAGAGATTGTTGAGAGATCTGGAGGTGAAATTGCAGAGGAGGTTGTTGTTGGTGGGGAAGAGAGTGAGGCTGAGAAGGAAGCGTGGAGGATTCTGGAAGACGCTGTGGTTAGGTATTGTGGTTCGCCGGTTGGGACGGTTGCGGCCAATGATCCCGGAGATAAGTTGCCTTTGAATTATGATCAAGTCTTTATTAGAGACTTTGTGCCTTCTGCTTTGGCTTTTTTGCTTAAAGGACAAGGTGAGATTGTCAGGAACTTTCTCCTCCATACTTTACAGCTTCAGGTAATTTGAATTGTTTGTTTCATTTATGTTATGCAACAGACATAACATAAAACTGGATGATTTACATTTTATAGTGGTTAATATGGTTTCTATCACTAATACTGTAATGAATAACTTTACCTATGGTCTGTTATTGATCCCATTTGTTAGAAAATGCGAAATAGTTTTTTTTCAGTAGACTGTGTTGAATTATATGAGGTTGTTGATTTTTTGATTTTCTGATGGTGTATGGTTTGTGTATAAGAGCTGGGAGAAAACAGTAGACTGTTACAGTCCTGGACAAGGCTTGATGCCTGCTAGTTTCAAAGTCAGAACCGTGGCACTTGATGAGAACACTACCGAAGAGGTTCTCGATCCTGATTTTGGTGAATCTGCTATTGGCCGTGTTGCTCCTGTCGATTCTGGTTGGTCACTACTTTCTCTCTCTTTCTTTGCTATTAATAATAATAATTCAATATTGATTGTTCTCTTAAGGGTTTCTTTCATCTTTTATAGGTTTGTGGTGGATTATTCTCTTAAGGGCATATGGGAAGTTAACAGGAGATTTCTCATTACAAGAGAGGATTGATGTTCAGACAGGGATAAAGCTCATCATGAACTTGTGTTTAGCAGACGGTTTTGATATGTTTCCTACACTTCTTGTCACCGATGGTTCTTGTATGATTGATCGTCGAATGGGTATCCATGGCCATCCCCTCGAAATCCAAGTACGTTCACCACTATATTCTTTTGTCTCTTTTTAAAGCGTGAGTGACCTAACCAATGATTTGTGTCCTTTGCAGTCGTTATTCTACTCAGCGCTTAGATGCTCCCGTGAGATGCTTTCTGTTAATGACAGCTCCAACAATCTTGTAAGAGCCATTAACAACAGATTAAGTGCTTTGTCCTTTCATATCAGAGAATACTACTGGGTGGACATCAAGAAGATCAATGAGATATATCGTTACAAGACAGAAGAGTATTCAACTGATGCAACTAACAAGTTCAACATCTATCCTGAGCAAATTCCTCCATGGCTCATGGACTGGATTCCTGAGCAAGGCGGGTATCTCCTTGGGAACCTTCAACCCGCGCACATGGATTTCAGATTCTTCACACTTGGCAACTTTTGGTCTGTTGTTTCCTCCTTGAGTACACCCAAGCAGAATGAAGCTTTATTGAACTTAGTTGAAGCTAAATGGGACGACATTATTGGCAATATGCCTCTTAAGATTTGTTATCCTGCTCTCGAGTATGATGATTGGCGTATTATCACAGGAAGCGATCCAAAGAACACGTGAGTTTCGCTTACGCTTTGCTTTCTCCTCCCTGCACCCTATGTTGGTGGACAATATAACTTTTTCGGTTGAACCAACCCTGAAAACGCTTATTAAACTTTTTGCAGGCCTTGGTCGTATCACAACAGTGGATCCTGGCCAACGCTTCTTTGGCAGGTACGCAGATATTTTGCATGTTGGAAACTTTAATAACTCATTATTAATATCTGAGGAATTCTGGTGCCTAATAGGTCTTCTTTTATATGTGTGATTTTGATAACAGTTCACATTAGCATGTATGAAGATGGGTAGACCAGAGCTAGCTGAGAAAGCTCTTGCAGTGGCTGAGAAGAGACTTATGGCAGATCGTTGGCCAGAGTACTACGACACCAGATCTGGGAAATTCATTGGAAAGCAGTCTCGGCTTTACCAGACATGGACAGTCGCTGGATTCTTGACTTCTAAACTCCTCTTGGCCAATCCTGAGATGGCGTCCAAGTTATTTTGGGAAGAAGATTACGAACTTCTTGATATATGTGTCTGTGGTCTCAGCAAATCTGGTCGGAAGAAATGCTCTCGAGTCGCTGCCAAGACTCAGATTCTTGTCCGATGAGTGCAAAACAGTGTCTTTTCAATCGCAATAAGCTTTTTTTAGGATATAATATATTAAAGGAATTTAATATTTACAGAACATGACTGTCACACAAAATATTTGATTATCTATTGGTTTGTATATACTGCAAACTCTTTACAAATTACTGCAAACTCTTTTCAATAAAAAAAAAATACTGCAAACTCTTTACAAATTAGTATCGTTAGAACTGTATTTATTTATTTAATATAAACTAGAGGTTTTGTCCGTACATCCAGAAATTTATGAAACTTATAAGTTTATATTTTATTAAATTAAAAACAGCATAATAAGTTAGGATTTATGCTTCTAAAATTAATTAAAAAGACAGCATTCACATAGTAGAATATTTTTGAAAAATATATTTATACAAATGTTTTTCTATTATAATTTTTATATCTTATTTTTTGTTTCCATAATAGAAAATATATTTTCAAGATACCAGTATAATACATAACGAGTATTTTATTTTCTAAAAATATAATATTATTAATATATATTCATTGTATTATATAATAAATTATATGAAATTGTTAAAATATGAAAATAACAAACTTTTTCTGAATTACAGAGAAATTGCAAATCAGCAAATTCCCTTAAATTTCATAATAAAAAATATTTTTAAGATAATAATTCAATACATAAGAATTATCTTAATAAATAAGAAATATCTTAAAATAATATTATGAATATAAATTTGTTTTTATATGAAATTACTAAAACATGATAAATAAAAATATTACTTAAAATCTTGGAGAAAGTGACAAATCAGCATTGCTTGATTCATATTTAATTATAACAATCTTAATACATAAGAATTATCTTATTTTCTAAAAATATAATATTATTAATAGAAATTTGTTTTTATTAATAAATTATATATATGATATTATTAAAATATGACAAACAAACAAAATTACCTATAAATATGGAAAAGTTGACAACTAAACAAATTTACTTCTCAAATAATAGTATATATATATAATTGATATATATATATATATATATAAATTTTCATATATATATATATATATATATAAATTCATATTTTTGCCAGCGTATCTACTATTAAAATTAAACTAGGTGTTTTCTTCCATCATGTGTAACAATATTTTTTTTAATTTAAATTAAATTTAAAAATAAAATTCTGTTAATATTCTAGATTTTATTATTTCATATTAATATTTTAATACAATTTAATTTAGTTACACATAAACTTAAATTAAAATAAATATTTTGATTTATTTTAAATTATATTTAATAAATATATATATATATATAAAAGATTATAATCTTAGATAGATTTCAATTGTTTCTTTCAATTGAGATGTATTATCTTAATTTGTATTTTTCTATAAAAAAATTGATATAGTTTTTTTCTAGTTATCAAAAAATAAAACTAAGCAGAACTTAAAAAATTTGTAGATATCAAAAAGAAATAAATGATATTACGATAAAATTTGTATAATTTTATAAAAATAATATAGAATATTTTGAAATTCTTGTTTGGTAATAAAAATATATAATTATTGAAATAGACTTAAAAAATATTTTAAAATCTGTATTTATATTGTTTTTTGTAATGGCCGCAATTTCTTGAATTAACACACTAACACTATATAATTGGCCAGTTAGAAAATATAATTGGCCAATTAGTTACTTTATAAATGATTAAATATATATAACACAAAATTTTATAAAAATAAATCGATACAAACAATCATGTGGACGCGCATGTCAAGCTCTAGTATGATATTATATGTGAAGTATCTCTCTTCATCTTTTCTCCCTTCTCTCTAGTTTTCTGATCTTCATTTCTCTGGTATAATTTCGTGTTGCCGATTGATAGTGTAGACTTTGCCAGCCAACGTCGGTCTGGTATTGTCTTATCTTTTTCTTTTTTTTTTGCTTGCATCTTCTTTTGTCAAGTATTTAAGTATGCAATCGATGGATCTAGATCTCAGATTCCAGTTCTTCTTAAGGTCTGAGGCATGTCGGTGTTGGATTTGTGATGTTATTCTTCAGGTGTGGCTTATTTATTCCGATGGTCCTCTTCTCCTTGGAACTTCTATAGGTGGTCGTTTGATTTTTGTTTTGACTATGCGTTAAAGGAATCTTTGGATCTTGCAGTTGATCCCCCATCTCCGATCAGGTTGTGTGTTCTGTCAAAGGACATCAGGGTATACCACTCATTTGGAGTTTGACCATTAGTCAATCTAAAAGAGACCATAAATATTCAAAGAGTGGGTTGCATACCATTAAATCTGCATATTGGATTGCTACAAATGTATTGTTCCAGCCTAATGAGGTAATGGTATTTGAGCCTGGTGTCACTTAACTACAAGCTCATGCCTGGAAAATAATTGAAACACTAATTTGATAAATGGCATCAGGGTATTTAGCAGTTACCGAAAACCTAACACCGTAACACCTCATCATATGTGATGCGATAATAACTGCCTAAGATATGGAGAATAAAATGAACTTGTCAATCATGTAGTTTTTGAATGTCCACATGCTTTACAAACATGAGTCTTAGCCTTTACACCATCATGATCTGACATCTTCCAACTTGGACTATTTATTTTAGAGAAAGAATGCAACTGAAGATCCTGAGATAAATAGAGATGTATACCCGTTGATCATTTTGTATCTTTGGAAAGTCATAAATGATAAACTGTTTAGGGGTATAACACAAGATCCGGGGGGAACTGATTAAACTTTCCCAGTGTGAATGTAATGTCTGGTTTGAGGCAAATGCAAAGATGTGCGAGAATGTGTATCCCCCACATCAGACTCTGAATACACAAATCTTACAGAGTTTTTGTTTAGTGGATGGGTCATGGACAGAAAAAACTACGAATAGTGGTAATGAATGGATTTGGCTGGTTGGAGATGGAAAGGAACAATTCATAGAATTGAGAAATAACAAAAAACGATTGTCCTCGTTACATTCTGAACTAGATACACCATTTGGGCAATCGAGAATTCGAACAGACATAAATCATGCCAGTACTTCGAAACAGATTATAAAGACATAATATCGATGTTAAAGAACCTACGAGCACGACCAAGTTTCTCAATAGAGCTAGCGAAGATAGCATTTACCCAAAGAAAATTCCAAGATTTTAAGATCATTCTTGTACCAAAGATGCAAAACAAGACATCAAATTCTTTAGCTAAAATCAGTTGAGTTTTTTATAAGAGTTCATTATTTGATAGTTGGTCTATTTCGGTCTGAAGTTAAATCTCTAGTTTATTTAATATGATAGTCTTTTTTCTTTTGAACACCGCAATATAATATTCTTTTGATGTATAAAAAGAAAAAAAAAACTAGTAAACCAAAAGCTCATTACTAGTCATTCTTGTCGAATTCCGGTTAACTCGTCGGATCATTACGGATCTTTACTAAAGGCCTAAAGCTTCCAGAATTGGCTGCAAAATTGGAAGGGTTGTTCTCTTAGCACCTATATAAAGAAAATTGTGTAATAGATAACTGGAAATATATCCTCAATCTCTCAATATCGTCTTGCTACTATTTTATTCACCCCCTGAATCGCTGAATGGGGATCGCGTCATCCATACCAATTTCCGCCGCCAAAACCGGAGCAAGAGAAACCGAAAGATTATAGTGATTTGCCATATCCGGTGATGGCTCATATTGAAGAACATTTCGCAGTTGGTGAGCAAATATGTTTGCAATTTGATTGTGCTCCTCCTCAGTAAGTCGACGGTTCTTTGTTTTTCCGCTGAGTCGTCCAACATCTGTGAAGATGTCTGGAACCGTAACATAATATGTTGCCCTTTCGCCTCAATCGTCATGCCGAGCGTGTTTTCTGGTTTTCGTCTGCACTTCTCCTGGAAAGTAGTGCTCCGCAAAGTTTGAAGTTTCTGCTCTGATAAACTGTGCCACTATAGTACCTTCCACCCTACTTAAATTTTTCACCATCTTCTTCAGATGAAACATATACCGCTCATACAGATACATCCATCTATACTGCACAGGACCACCAAGTTCCAGTTCTCTTGGCAAGTGAATAACAAGATGCTCCATAACATCAAAAAAGGAAGGAGAAAATATCTTCTCAAGGTTGCACTTGATCACGGCTATGTTAGTCTTCAAGTTTTTGATACATTCAGGAGTCACTGATCTCGTGCACAAATCGCGGAAGAAATCACTTATCCCTGAAACTGCTTCATAAACATTCCTTGGTAATAGTTCCTTGAAGGCAAACGGAAGGAGGCGCTGCATCATTACATGGCAATCGTGACTCTTCAAGCCGGTAAACTTTCCTTCGTTTCTGTCGACACAGTTACGCAAATTAGATGCGTAACCGTCTGGAAATTCCACATCCTTTGAAATCCAATCAAAGAACGCATCTTTGGCC